TGCTCAAGCTTTGAAAATAAAACTTTAGTTACTATACTATATATTATATACTATATATTATAATTACTCTTACTAATGTATGCTAATTTAACACAACTGTTCTTCACAGCAATTATAACAATTTCCTAAATGAATTGACGAATAGTAAATTGTGCCTCTTAAAAAGGTCAAAGTCATAAGCATTTTATATTAGACTAAAACTCGAGCTGGAGATTTAGACATTCTATCTGAAATATAATAAATTCTCAGGACACACTACATTGCTCTGTCAAGGAAAAAACATTGTAAATATACGATTGTAACAAAAAAACAAACACTTTGCAACAATTTATCCTTTTCAGATGAAGGAAGTCATACTTATAACAGCTAGAAATATTCAGAAGCAGGTTTCGAAAAAGTTTCTGACAATGGATTTTTCTCGATATTTTATAAACTGAACTTACAAATGAAAAACAAAAAGCATTTCAGTAAAATCGTTCGAAAAAAATGAAAAGATATGTTGCTACTTCAGATTACTTTTTAATGCAAATGACTGAAAAACAACTTTTGAATTTATAAAATTTTTACTGTAAAAAAAAAGATAAACTTAGATGAAGTTGATTATATTGGTTTTTATTTTGCCATTAAATTAATAAATCCTTTTTTTCAACTGATACTCTATGAACGTAGGCAAATAATTAGTAACGACAAACTAAGTTTTTTTTTTTCTCAATACTGAGATAGCTTATATGTTTAGTTGTTAGACTATTACTATAATCATAATAATCAATCAAATAACTATGCTGTAAAAATGTCACCTAATGCATTTTGCTTAAATTATCGTTAGCTATTTGCAACTGCATAAGCATCAGTAGCATACTTAGCAAGTAGCAGTTGCTAATGCTACTACTATTACTACCTCTACTGTTACCAAAGGCCAACATTTGCTTTACAATACTGTTTATTCATTCAGGAAAATTAAATTTTTAGTAATTATTAACTCGCACAAGACTTATCACATTTGACAAATTCTGCTAGTTTAGACTTTTTGATTTTTACTCTTATATAATAAAATTAATCCCTAAGATAAATAATAAAAGCAAGACTAGAGAATAATAAAGTAATACTTGAAATGCTATTACTTCTAATTAAAAAGCTAGGTAAGAATTAATAGTGAAGCAAACAACAGGTTTTCCAATAATAACATGAATTTTAAGCAAAAAATGCAATTTACTCTTGAATACAAAATTATATTAAAATTTTATAAGTACATACAGTGATATGTACCTTCATCTCAGTGATTTCCTTTCATTATCTCTATGTTTTTTCAAGCACAAATTTAATTAATTATTCAAAAGGCCATTTTTCATTTGACTTAATTATTAAAAAAAATTATGCATCTAGTGAAAGCTAAAGGTATTATAAACATAAAATCGTCTATTTCATTACATGTATCATCTTTTTCGAAGCATTTTTTTCACTCGAACTACAGCGACACCAAATCGAGTCCAAAATATTTTATTACTATTATTATCGTTAATATCGTGATAATTACTTTCTTTTTTTCCTGCATCAATATTGACCAAGTTATAATAACTCGAAAGGACATCAATTTCACAGTTTTTTAGCATACATTTCTATGCCAAAAGAAATTATTTGTTGATAACAAAAACCGGTAAAGGAATTCTTTTATTTTTCAAAGCATCTCAAAAATAAATGCCTGAAAATTGGTCTTTCTAAACACCTGTCCCTCTAAAAGAATAAAATGAGGAAATAGCAAAATGTTAGTGTTTAAAAATCAAACTAATAAGCAAGCTTACTATCGTCTTTTTCTAAAAACTATATATACAGATAAAACGAACAGTTTATACTTTTTCCCAATAGAATAACAGTTTGAGTTACTATAACGCAGTAATAAATAACAGAAGTTAAATCTATACACTAGGTGAAAAATACTTTATTTGAACAGCTTTCTGAGTCATTTTTCTTTCCATAACTCTCATTACTTAAATTGAATTTTCTTAGTTTATCGGCAATTTTACTTCGATATTAAAATTACAGTATTTCTCTGAAAAATAACAAATTTCGGTACGAAGATATCAGTAGATACTCACATATTTTCAAAATTATTTCCGCTTAAATTTTATTTTTCTCATGCAATATTTTTATAAAAATACACTCACGTATAACAGTCTTTTACAGTGATTTTTGAAAAGGATTCCGCAACAGTTTATCAATTGCTCAAAATGTATCATTCTTCAAAAGCAAAGTTGCGTGGATAATTAAAATCACAGTTTTCAAGTAACAGAATATAGGAACTCATAAAAGTAAAATGTAGTAACACCTAGATAGCAACTAATAGCAAATAAAATCTCTTTTATAATAGTCATGAAACAAAACTGGTAGAACAAGTCTAAAAACAAGTCAAAAAATCTAAATTAAAATCTGCTAATTAAAAATTAAATACCATCAAAGCAATGACAGATACATCTATTTAAGTAAAAAAAATTGCACTGAAATAAGTAAAAAATCCAGATATTTCACATCGAAACTACAAAATTCTTAAAGTGCTATCAAATATGATACAATGAGAAATTTTTAAGCTTTTCAAACATTAATTTCACAAAAAGTACTAACGATTACCTAATTAAAAGTTTTGTACTAGACTATGAAATCACCCAGTAACTACGGGGCCAGCTCATTTTTGCAATTCAAAAAGCTAACCTATGTAGTAATAAATTGAAAGCTCAGACTATTTCAAATTCAATAAATTTATAAAACTGCCCTAATATCAATGAATTTTTTTGACAGTTTTATACAGCAGAAAGATAGTACGAAAAAACTTTATGAAGTAAAACCTTTTTGTTTCCAGCAAACATGAACATATCTGAAGGTTCCAATATTATTTGCAGATCAATCGTTCTAGTAAATAAATTGGAGATGGTGAAACCGACTGACACAGGTACACGGACAACAAGATATGCTTCTCGAAATAATGTTTTCACTAACAAAGGAGAATTCTTAACAAGCACTGAACCAATATTGAGTTTAGATACAACACAACTCTGCATTGATCCATCTCTGCAATATTATTAATCTGAAATTACCCAAAGTAATACTATTTCAGTAAAACTTTTTCTTGGAGTCCTTTATGAAATTTAAATTCAAACATTCATAAGCTTGACAAAATTATGAAAATGAAACATCTTAGGAAAAATAACCTTCGCCAACGTATAGATAATTCTCCCAAATCACACAGTTTACTCTCTTCCGCAAATGAAAATTGAAATGGAGCACGAAGAGCAAGTATCTCATCTTGTAAATATAGCACTTCATCTGAAGGATCAAGGAATAGCCCTTTATTGTAATAAAATATTTTTTAGATTACCAACTTGATTACCTTCTAGAAGTACTTTTTCGCTTTCACTAACTTCTAGTTCAGGACTCTGAAATATAACATGATGTGATGCATGAATCAATTGTAAATGGCTAAAATAAAAATTGTATTATAAAGTTCAATCCGACATTTAGAAGCATATACCGGTTCCCATGATACATCCATAACAACCATGTCTGAGATTACTGTTATTTTGATTTGAATAAACAGATCGGTTTTCGTGAAAGGACTGTTGATTAATTCGTTCTAAAACAAACTGTATTAATAAAAACTTGACCAGAGCCGATAAAAATAAAAGCGAATTAAACATACAATGGTTTAATCTCATTTTCCTTATAACACTATAAACACTTATTTTTCAGCTCAAATAAAAGTCGATAAAGCATCAATAAACTCACGTCAAAAAATGCAGTACCAAAATATATTTAAAATAATCTCATATTAAACTGAAATCAGCGACAGTCAAATAGTTATTTAAACACGAACATTCGAAGAAAAAATACTGCAGCTCATTTCAAATGGTGGTCGCGATCGCACAGGAATTAAAAACAGTTTTTGAACTTTTACACTATTAACCAGTGCAGAAATCTGTAAAAAATGAGAGAGAACTGTAGCTATTGTAAGCAAGTAATGTCTTTAAATAATTAGGGAAAATTATACCATGATGCAAATATTAACAGTGCACAACTTCTGCACACAGTAAGGTATCTTCAGCCCAATCTAAAAATGCATTTTCAATAATAATAAACATTATTTTAGATTTATTTGGAAATTATATGCAATCAAATATTTGACTACAGTAAGACTTAAATACACTGAACTGGTATTAAACATAAAGCGATCTATATATTCGCATATTACAATAGATGAACACAACGAATATCAGTTGAAGAAAACCTGAAACGGTGAAATTTGAGTACTGCTGTGATCCAAAACTTTTGAACCATTTGAAATAAACTGATTTTCTTCGTCAACAAAAACTAGCGCATTTTCTGCGTCGTCTTTGGTATCCACATACCATTCCATTCTAATATTTTCATCATCATATATTTAATTTAAAGTAAGCAGAGAAATGAAAAGAGACATACTTAACATTTTCAACTGATCCATCTTCTTCACAAATGAACAACAAAGGCAATGTAGCAATTTCGCCAAGCAATGCTTCATTTTTTTCAGTGTGATCAAGGCGAAAATTAACTTCACGCGATTTAATCCTCAAAAAAATTTAGGTTGGCAGAAATTCAGCGTAAAGATGCATATAAAAAAGTTATTAAATTACGGGATTGTAGTTTGACCAACACAGGCATCCATGATTGAAATTCTGTAAGAATTATCGCAAGTACCATAAGACAATGATTGCGCATCCCAATCTAAAGTGCCATATACTGATGAATGAATGGAACCGATCTCCAAACTCAATCCATTTACCTGAAATTAAATTTGGAATGACTAGATTTTTTTGGTATGAATTTGGTTTTGATAGATTGTCACAGAATATAATTCATTCATGAGCATCAATGAAAATGAAAAAAACGAGAAAATCAATGATTACCACGAGATTTTTGTTAACTGTAAAAGATGAGTCGGATAATGGAATCTTGAATATTTTTACAGTTTCTTTTTCCGGACATACTACAATATTATCTTCTGTAAACTCATACATAGGCTGTTGCTCACATTTGCTACTGTCATCAATGACAGTAACTCTTAATTTTTCGAAGTAGAATTCACTTTTGGAGTACGATGAAAGAGCGACCTGTGCAATAATTATATTATTATATTTAAAACAGCAAAAAAAAAAAAGAAAAAAATGCAGCTAACTAAAACACTGATTAGAGTAAATCATGTGCATTTTAATACAATAAAAAAATACAACTTATTTTGCCCAATCTTAAATAAAGAATTTTTCTGATTTGTCTCTTTTCAAAAAAAAGGCCAAAATTCCAGCAACGATCAAGAGCAGTTAGCAAAAAATATGCTCCAACTCGTGAATGATCTCCTTTTAAGTTTATAATGTAGTATTGAAAATCAGGATTACCATAAGAAAAATCACTGATTTAGAGCTAATAATGTCCGCAGTACTGCTAAGAAATGCAACTCGAGCTCGAACAAATGCATCAATACGCGGAGCATTTATGGAGAAAAATACTCTCTCAGCATACACAGATTTCCATAATTCTTCGCATTTTTTTTTCTTAGAATAATTTAAACAAAACATTGAAAAGTGATAGAAGATATATAGTAAGATTAACGTTCTCACCATCTTGTTTTAATATTTTATATATAAATCAGAATGTGCTACACACACATTCCAGTTATTTACAACGATGTAAATATGAATACAATAGTTCTAGCAGTCAACAGAAAATCTCACAAAACGACTAATTTAGGCAAATGAAATGCAATTTCAAAAAAAAAAAATCAGTGAAGTATTACTGCTTAAGATCTACACGTAGAACTGAAAAATGAAATGTATGGATAAATGTGCAAAAAGATAAACCTCTTTCATTTCATAATTGAAGTTATATACGAGCGGCTTCGGAAAATTATTTAAACGAATAAGCAAAATATTTTCCATGAGTTTTTCTGTCATAAAATCACATGTCGGGAATGTGCGAAGATTTAGCATTTGAAAAGACATAGTCATATATCCTTTTATATCAGCGATACGATGCGCATTGATGAGGCCACGTAGTAGAAGTACTGGAATCGGTTGCGTGAAACCTTCCCGAGAACATTCCGAAATTATATGTGAAATCAACTGAAAATCTAGAAATGTTCGAGGGACAAACAAGAAAATAAAGTGTAGCATGCAGCTCTTCACACTGCTTATGGATAAAATTGCTTTGTATACACAACCACAATAAATATCACCTGCAAAGCCTTTTTGTACTGTTCAGAGGAAAAGTACTCTTCAGATATCAAAAACATGATAAAACGTTGCATTCGTGAACATTTGTGCTTTTTGAACTGTGACATTGCAGCAGACAACAAAGCGATACATCGGTCATAGTCTGGAGAGCACAGCTCCTAAAATGATGCTGATTACAGTAAGTAAATATGAAACTCTTTTTCAAGGTAGTAACAGAATTAAAGTTATAGTGAAAAAGATGAAATATTATAGTAAACCTCAAGGTCATAACGGACAGTGTTCACAGTTTCCGCAGTAGACAGACCAACATTTTTATCACCCATGACTCCTACTTTCCATGGTCGCTGTCCATAAAAAACTACTGAATCTGGTGTCCAAGGACTCAAAATTGGTTCACATACTCTAGGTAATGACTTCATTTCAATTATAGTTTCGTTTGCTTGACGATAGAAATAAGCTGCGATTTGAAGATACATCCCAGGATGTTGAGATGAAGTGGTGACCAAACCATCTATCACTGATCGATCAAACAAATTTGCAAACAAAGAGCACTAAAAGAAAACAGTTCTAAATCATATATATCAAGATTAACTTAAGGACATATGAAACCTATTTTTTATATATTTGATTCATTCAACCAATAGTGCTAAGGTGAAAAGTGACAATAAAAAGCTGATAAAATAATACCTGCTTGCCTTTCCATAACGAGTGCTCAATTGAAGCAAGGTGCAAAGTTGGATACAGACCAGGACTACAATTAAAAAATGCGCCAACATGTCTTCGCTGTTGAGATAATGCTTCTAAAGCCAAACTATGCAGAAACAACAGTTGACAAATCTGTAATTGCTTTATTCCAATATTTTGTTTTGAATTGTATTAAGACATCAAACAAATGAAAATTATTAAAATTAGCGTTCAAAAATTCCATGAAGAATGAAAAGCAGCAAAAACAAGCATGAAAATTAACCTTGTAATTAAGAAGTCCAGCCACTGTACGCAACTCAGAGAAATCACATTCGAAGTCTTCATATTGAGTACAGTATTGGTATGCAAGCTTATAATGTCTACAATAAAACTTTCAACTTTTACTTGCTAGAAAGAAAATTAACTTAGATTGCATAACAAATTAAAAATAGAGAAAACAGTCTTTTGCTAGGTAAAAAGTATAAATGAGGAGAAATATGAGGGCAAAGGGTACAGCCTATAAAAACTGAACACCATTAATGAGGTAAAAGAAGAGACATCACTTATGGAAACTGATATCAATAATGAAATGAGTAATCTAGTCGTGAAAAGACCAATTTAAGATGAAAGAGGTCGTTATTATTTGAAAAAATAAAAGATGACAATAACAAACCTGAGTGCCATATGAGTTTCCTGTCGTAGTTCCGAAAGAAATCCCAGCTTGAATTGTTGGCGAATGATAAGATTCGTAGAGTTATTAGCTATTGGTCGTGCTCGAACTGATTTCAAACAATGTTGGTAAAATGCTTGTGCTAATTCATGTAAAGCAATTTCAAGTCTAAAAAAATAAAGAGACATAGAAACTTTACAATTTACTGACAAATACAATTAAACGATCTATATAGTACAACAGAATTTTTCGCTCAAACTCACAACAGCACCTAAATAGATATGAGGTATTTTTGTAAATTCTAATATGTATTTAAATATTCCAAACTCAATTAGGAAACAGATAAATAAACTTCAAATCCAAAAGCTTTTACAACAGCACATCTGTATATGGAAGCAAGTAAATTAGTTCGCTAACATTTACTTGACAACTGATGCAAACATTCGCTCATCTGTAGGCACAATAAATAACTGTTTGGGTGAGACCTGACAACTTTGACATAGTTTATTTGTTTGTTCCGCAGCTACTGGACTATCCACTGGATAAGATTGTTGCAATAGCACGATACAAACCCTAGTTGCATACTTTCCGATGCATGTCCTGCAATAATTTTATTTTCTTCGTTTCTTACACAACTATGTATGTTACAGTACTGCAAGGCAAGATTTTTGGAGCTCAAAGTTTCATTTTATTATTTACAGATCAGAAGATGCATTTCTGATTAGTATTAGGTAGAATAAAAGTGAATCAAAAAACACAATGTCTACACTACCGTTTTAAAGAAATTGCACATTTTTCTATAAAATGTATTTATGGTCAATTGGAAATAGCATCTATATTTGTATATACTAATATAACAATGCAAATAATTGCTGGAAAGGTATAGAATTTCTTTATAATTAAATATTTTTTTTCGTTCTATTTCAGCAAAATTTCTACGATTTTCGAAAAATCACAAGCAATAACCTGAGCGAAGAGATCTTTGACTGACATTCGGTAACTTTCTCATTCCAGGAAGGATGATTTAAATTTAAATCAGCAAATAAAACGACAACAGCTGGTACTTCAGTGACATATTTTTTAAACCAACTTTTTTTAATGAATCCATGTTTGGTCTGTGAAACCTGAAAAGATAAACAAGATTGAAAAAATCTACACCACTCAACTTACAAATACTTTTACAAACTAAATACTTTACTTTGTTCTCGATCATTACCTTTGGTTGGTGTTGCGCTGATTCATTAAATATTTGAGTACCATCGATCATCACGAAATTCAAAGGTGGACGATCCGATGCACGATTACTAGTCAAAGTAGACAGGACTGATGCATGTGTTTTGTCATTAACAATATCAAGTCCAGTTATGAATACAAGCTGACTTTGTCTATTAGCCTCGACTTCTGGGGGAATCTCTTCGCAATCCATTACCCTTCTGAAGACTTTTTATTTTTTTGACCAGTTCCAAATACTTGCTCACTTTTGTTAACGACAAAGAACTTTAAAATAAACTACACCTCCCATCTCTTGTCGATATGTGGCATGACTAATGACTGACAAACAAAAGATTTAAGACTTAAAGAACCACTCAAATCAGCGCAAATCAACAACATAAACGCAAGTCAGTCTCCACAATGTTACCACAAAGCCGACGACTAAGTCGTCTTTCAATTACCAAATTCTTCAGTAAAAAAATTCTCAAACTTAATCATTGCTGAAATTACCAGACCACAAAAATATGCTTACCACACCAACCGAAAATTATTACAACTTTTCAATATAAAATACACCATGTCAATTCCACACACAAATGCATACTCCGCCGTAACTTCAATCTGTTGCACAAAACCTCCTTGAGAGGAAAAAGTCAGTATAGCACCACTGCTGAACAGGCAAAATAAGCACTTTTGTATGTATCATGTGTTTAAAATCTTCAAGACACAAGTTTATTGCATACTTCAATACACTTAATTAAAATTCTATATGATAACATTACAATATTTTCAACCTTTCCACATTCATACGTCGTCCATTAGTTTAACTGAAATTTACAGTTTTAACTTTCCAAAATGACATTTGTAATGAATCATGAAGGTAAGATAATCTTGAAGTTTAATTAGGAATACCGCATCAAATAACTCATGAGATCAATTTGAAATTATGATACTCAAATAGTCCCTGCACTTACTTTCTTAAATCCGATGTCGGAAGCATATTCTCTAAAACATCGTCGACACATATTAAGCCCATACTTTCTTATTAATCCGTGATGATTCGAACAAACTCGACTAAAATATTCGTCTATTAACATCAAATCATTAATTTAGCACCAGGATTTCGGGTGATAATTCAGCCTTCTACTGAAAGAAAATACCGGCAAATTCTTACAGAATGACAATAAATGAAAATTAAATTGATAAACACACCAAGAACGAGATCCTGGTCCATATTTGCGAGGATGCGAAAACCATAAATTTTGATGACCCATACTGAATTTCGTGTAAGCAGAACTTTCTTAATGCTCAAAAATACCGCCTTAACCTGCAATGAGAATGATTCAAAACGCAAAATTAAACGTCACCGTAGCATTCATGACGTATGATTGGTGAGTGTGAAGAATTTGACTCCATTCAACATAAACTGCATGAAAACCAAAGTTGTGATGCATATACAACTGTGAATATTAACCTTCAGGCAAATACTTATGTAGACTTTAGATTCCTAAGAAACTATTAGATAAATCCCAAGCATGGCACTCACAATACTGTCTATATCAAGACATCAAGGATTACGACAAATACTCTGAAAAACTTGACTTACGTTAAATAAAAGCAGAGTTATATAAACAAAAAAATCTACACAGTACATGAACACCAAAACAAAAGTAAGCTCAACCACATTCACTTAAACCTACTAACCATGATCTTAACTTGGGTACATTAGATACTTCCAACCACATTCTAAGAGTCTACTATTGCGGTCTCCTGAAAAATTGTTGGCTACGATATGCAATTCAGGTCTCGTGCAACTGTGAGCTTTCGCTAACTAGATGATTTCATTGGGCGTAAATTTTGCTCATACGTTATGTTTGCATTCACATAATCTCTCTTAGTTGGTTTCTCGGGTTTCTTATCATCTACTTATCTGTCTCTTTATATACGTGTCTAATTAATTAATTTATCTAACAATGTGTTGTATTCTAATATATCTATATTTATGCTTTTTGATGGATTTAAATGTTTCATGATCTCACTCAGTCACTCATATATTACGAATAATGAATGCAGTCTCCGCATCATGAGATGAAGCAATGTTGTACGTATATATATCAGTAAACCAATCTACCTATCATGTCTTCCATAACGGGGTTCGAGCAAAGTTAGTCAGATCCTGACCACACTCTATGTTTAACAAAGTTAATATATAAAGAGTTGATAATTACCATGTTCTTGTGCCACATTGTGCTTCATTTCAAATTTGAAATGTATTATTGTTACATAAAATGCATGCAAACGGTAACAGAAGCACCTTGTTCTACAAATCTACAACGAAAGCAAAGCAGGTAAATAGATTGTGGCTTTAATGGACGCAATGGTTTTCGCCGCAAAAGTAATCGCAAGTATTGAGCAGTTGACAGGAATCAGTCAGTCATTTATTAGTATTTCATTTGCTATTTTTATGATTTTTTACAGTTATTTATGACTGTTTACACAAAAGCTTAGTAGTACACTAAAAATTAAATGTAAGTTATTAATCTGATTAATAAGCTGATAAGTAGCCATGTCTGTATTAGCTAAATGATGCGCTCGATTATATTCATTGAAAGCAAATATTGATGCAACGATAGATCACATTCATCTAGAATAGCATAACTCTTGACTTCAATGCACATTTGTTTAGACGAAATTAATTAGTGGCAAGCACCACTTCATTACAAAAAAAGAAACTAGTAAAGCTTGGTACGTAATATGAAAAATAAGTGAAGCTTGCTTCACCAAGTAAACGGAGTAATTGAGCCAGACAAATCGTAACATACTTTAATAATATACAATTGCAGCATACATGTTGCACTCCATAAAGATGCAATTCTCCATCTTGTGCACTTATACGGATAACCCTATCATGTTTCTCAATGCTATTTTTCATATATCGTAAAGAATTTTAATTTCTGGAACTAGTAACTAGGTAACGTGGAAACAACAAAAAAACAGTACTAGAGCTGTACATTTGTTCTGAGACTAAGCTGTTATATGAGAATGTAGATTTTGTTTGGATCAAGCAGCTGAAAACATCACTCTCTAGCAGAAATTCCTAAGCATTCGTTGGATGTATCTGAACTAGATAATGCGAATACTGAGTAGAACGAGATAAGACAGCCAGGGAAAACAGTATAATTGTTATATTAAAGAAGCTATGGTACTTTTAAATATGGTTAATTTTGCATTTGTCATTTCACGTCTTTGCCCTTAGCGTAATTTCTATAGCCCGCATGTTATAATTTAAGAAAAACCTGGAAATATTACAAATAACTGAAAAAACTAAAGTGTTGAAGTTAGGAGCAGTATAGAAAACAAAAGATATTTGCTTCAAATGAAAAGGATATGAGAAACATACCCACTTATAGCTCTGAAAAGGCTTCTCAGACTTCTAACTTTGGCTACAGAAGTGATTTCTTCACTTGTTTCCGGAAAATTATTTACAATTCTCATCATTTTGAGGTCGATAATATCATTAGCCAACTATGTTAGGAAACCTAAGATGCATGGTATTTCAGACGAAAACTATGTATGGTAGGTAGAGAATATTTCGGAACTGCTCTTGGGGAAGAATGTCAGAAATGTTTTATGAAAAGTTTTATCTCGCAAAAAATTTAGTATAATAAAGAATTAAGACACAATATTCAAGAGTAGGAATTTATGAAGAATTCGACACACGAAGTCGATACCTTCTATAATAACTAAGTCATCCAAAAAACAATGTTTTCTTATTTACTTGTGGATCCTTTCAGTCGCTCGAAATCGCTGAGTTTTGTCAGACAAAGTGTCCGAGCTTGCAACGTCTGCGAATTGCAAGTTAATATCTGAAAGTCATTGATTTGTTTTCAAAAAGATGACCCGAGAGTAAGTTAAGAAGGGATATGATCCGACGAGTTAGTTAAGTTGACTTACTTTAACAGCAACATAATCCCCAGGTTTCAGCTCTATCATACTTGAACCAACATAGTGATATTTCGGAACAATCACGTTTACTCCACCATCAGTCCATCCTCGTAAATGTTCAGAAGAGCGTTTACTTGTCTTAAAAAAAACTCAAAATACCAAAAAACAAGTTCTCAAGCCAAGAAAACAGTACTACAAACGTATTAGTCTCAAGTCCAATTAGTTTTAAAATTAAAAAGTTAGCCTTAAGATTGGAAAATTAGCAACAAATCTCACTTCCTCTATGAGAACTAGCTGTTTACTTCCAACGAGGGTCTCATTGAATTTCAAAGCTCCCTCTCTAAACACTTGTGCCAGCTCTTGATGACGTCTGTTCTTTACTTCGTTTGGCACATTATCGATGATATAACGATATGCCTTCGTTTTCTAGAAAAAAATGATTTTTTGCATAATTCAACACTTATTACAGGACCAAAAATAAATTAAAAGGGCGCTACGTAGCATTTCCAAAAACTCACTTCTCTCTGACTATACGGATAAACATAGCAAAAAGAATAGAGAACACGTCTGATCAGATCCAGCGATTCTTGATGGCAGTGTTCGGTCTCACCACAGAATCCAGCGATGAAGTCACTTGTTAGGGATATATCTAAGTACAAATAAGTTCTATATGCAATAAAATGATCCATAATAATGAATTGAAGAAAACAATACTTGGTATCAAATTTTTAATCCGATTGACCAATTCTAAATAGCTTTCTCGAGAGTATCCGCGACCCATGGTCTTCAGTACAGCATTGCTTCCACTCTGCGCTGGTAGATGAATTTGTTTGCATATATTTGAACGTTCTTTGATTAGTTGTATGACCTGGAAAACTGACTACTGAGATGAATATAATTGAACAACTTAAAACAAGAATTAGTCACAAATGATGCATGCCTTAATGCAAGTTTCACTATTGTTTCATTCAATTCAGACCTCAATAGGAAAATCTTTTGGATGTGGCGACGTGAAACGTATTCTCATTTCAGGATCAATTTCTGATACTTTATCCAACAGAGTGAGAAAGGAGTGTCCACCTTTTTTTGGCTTATATTTAGTTTGAAATCCAGGAGCAAGACCAGGTTCTGCTATAGATGGAAGAGGAAATGACGTTTCAGATAAATCGCGATAACTGTTCACATTTTGTCCAAGCAAAGTTACTTGCTTCACACCCTGGAAAAGATATACTTGATTCAAACAAAAAACAGAACAAATCATCAAAATCACTTTTTTCAGTAAACGTAACTTGATTGATGAAATTATACCTGATCAGACAAATGTTTTATTTCGTCCAAAATTGAATCTAATGGCCGGCTTCTTTCCCGTCCTCTTGTATATGGTACTACACAATATGTACACATATTATCACAACCTCGCATTATTGAACTATAACAAGTTTTTTCAAATCAATTAATCAAAGACAGGACAAAATGAGACATTTCCACATTCATTTTTCTGTAGTGTTCCACTGCGAGACTCTGGAAAAAAAAATGGAAATGAAGTTCCATTACTGTTAAGTACAATGCACTGGTAAAAATGTGTGAGAAATGAAGCATAAAAATGACACAAAAGCTGTTCTAGAAGATTTATCTGATCGAACAGGAGCAATATCAGCATAAGTCTCGTCTAGCGATAATTGGACATTTATTGCCATACTTCCTGAGCGAGCAACTGCCAAAAGCCTCGGCAAATCTCGATATGAGTCTGGCCCAGCAACAACATCTACATTTTCGGTACATGCTAATAAATTATGTTTTACTCTTTCAGCCATACAACCTGAAAGAAGAATATCGGAAACGTATATTACTTTCAGATATGGGACAGCAGTTTTGCAATTTGATACCAAATTCCATTAAAAACTTACGATACAGCCAAAATTTCTGTCCTAAAAAGTATAATATATCACAGATATATGAAAAATACAGATCATTTACTACATAGTGACAAATCATTCAAAGTCAAAATCAATAAACAGAGAAAAAATTTTCGTAACAAGTAGCATATTAGTTTAATATAAATAGTCATTTAAAAAATTAGTCAAAGACATACAAAAAAAACTCCAGAACTGTTGCAGAAAAATAAGAGTGATAAAATAGACAGCCAACAAATTAGACTTTTAATGCAGTTTTAAATGACTCGCATGAATCCCACAATAAATAAAATGCCCATTATAGGATCAGTTCTTTGACTAGTTGGCATTTGCGAATGTAGTAAGAAAAAAGTGAAAAGAAAGCATATTACACACAAGTTTTACACACCAAACACTAACAGCCTAAATGCGAAATAGAAATCAAACCTAGAACTCCGGTAACACCTCTTTTCCCACGTATTTTCTTTAATTCTTTAAGTTCATTCCATACTTTATTTTCCGCCCCTTCGCGTATGGAACATGTCATCAACAGGACAACATCAGCCTTAACGTTATGGTAACAAATCAGTCAAACACTAAAATTAGCTGAGAATATAAACTTATATCAGGAACTAAATACCTTTTTGATATCAGTTGTTTCCACGTAACCTTTCGTTAGCAGCAACGAACGCACCAGTTCGACATCATTTACATTCATTTGACAACCATAGGTTATAAATTTTACTAAAATATATTCATTGCTTTTATATGAAATAAAAAATATTATACACACTCAAATATACCTTTTAAGCCATCACCACGTACATCATCTTCCTTCAGAAATCTATCAGTTTGTTCTATCTTCGGCATAACCTTGCTAAGACATTTTCCACTCACATCACGGATAAAATCATCCAAACCGGGGCCATCTGAGAACATTCACTGTATTAAAAAGCAAAAAAGATCATATAACGACACCGTTAAAAGTCTTCAACATAAGCTTATTAACAATTGCGACTGCACATCATAACATAAAGAACACATAAATATGTCACTAACTTACCAATGAATCTTAAGGGCCTTTTCTGAACAGCAGATGTAGCTCGTTCCTTTTGAACGGATTCAGCCACTAACGACTTAAACTGTATGCTCCATTTACCACAGAATCTGCAACTCAACAAGTGGCGCCTCCCCACAAGGAACATTGCTCTGCAGATCAAAAACTAACTGATCATGAAGATTAATACTTCTTTCTCTGAATTCTGTTCACGAATTATAACATAGATCAGAAGTCTTCAACATATCCTTGTGTTGCTTATTAATAATTGCAGCTTCGTATCATTAAATGCACACTTATCATTCAAGGTATCTTTTTCATCAAACAATTGCTATGCAGTAAAAAGTTTCAGTTAATCGTGTCATGTTAAACAGTAACTGTAAACTTGGTATTCACAAAAATACATTTTGCTGATGGTAATAAATGATTCCTCTTAACGTAGCACAATCGTCTTAATTAAATACTTTTATCAAACGTCTTTATATACAAACATTGAGGAGAAAACGATAATCACGAATTTTCTAGTTTCAATCTTTTTCTAGCTATTTCTCCTTCCTGAAAGTACATCGATGAGTAAAATGAAAGATTCAAAAGAAAATACTGTTAATTAAATTTATAGTTTCAAATTACATGTCTAATAGAAACTCATGAGCTTCAAATTTTTGCTCAATAAAATTGTGGGCATATCAAACGTAACGAGGTATTTTCAAGCTTCGTTGTAAAGAAAATCCATGTAATATAAATTTTCATAAAAACATTACCGTCCCAAATTCATAATACTCAGGAGCTAACTGATACAACCATTCTGGTTCAATTACACTGACATCACGTATTGAATCTTGCAATACCTCTGAGAATATCACCCTAGAACGAACTTAAATTTGAATGCATACTCTTCCTAAGCAAGAAATTTACAATATGCGTAAGTCACAACAAACCATTTCGGAAATTCTTTTCTGTACATTATTGCGGATTTCTTATAAAGTTGCAAATGATACTCATCTCTCACAGTAACATAATCGCCAGAAAAATGGTAATAAGCTGCTTGTGAGAATAAACCTTTCACTAAACAACGAAGTATGGGTTTCACTCCTAAATTCATAAAACTTAGTACGGATGTGAAAACATTATAAAAATCAAGATATTAAGATTTAAATAAAATGTTTTTAATACTTCTAAATCTTTAAAAGAATCAAAATTTCGATTACGAGAAAAAATAAAATGAAGTGTACCATTATCTCTGCATGATTTCAACGGGATATCACAACGCATCATAAAACTTAAAAGCTGATTACGTATTGATTCAGCCCGACGCAAACCACGATAGTTTAAGAAATGTTTAGCACACCATTGCTTAGACCTCCCATTCTAAAATTAACAGACAATCAAGGCTAAATTCGCTGATCTTTTCAAAAAAATCAAGCTCGGTAAAGTGATTTGATAAAATTGGTCTTTAAATTTATTGGAATGATTCACCTGCATGAAATTTGTAAAAACATTCAGCATAGTTAAATGATCACCCTCTTCCACTGAGAACTTTCTTTTCATTAATTCCTGAAACATGTGTTGCAATATAATAGTGTTAAAATATTACAAATAAAAGCCTTTGAAATATAAATGGTACTACTGACAGCTTGATGACGACCCTTCAATGGCAACATAAAGACATCTTGTATTTGAAGCATAGCTATAATTATGGCGATTTCTTCACTGCAACCAAATTCACCTAAAATTATAAAATAAAAAATTTATGAATATGATAGCTCCTGCACAGTTTATTCAAACATAAATTCATGTAGAAAAAAAAGCTACATGACATTCTGAATTAAATTACAAAAGGAAAAGAGAACAACAAAAACCTGAACAAAGAAGAATTTTGGAGAGCTGAGGTGGCAGTGGAAATTCTGCCATTTGAGTACCCAGTGGATTAGTTAACAAACCATCTTTAGACAAAGCTCCCAAACAAAATAATAACTGAAGGCCCTCAATCATTGCAAATGCTGGTGGCCGCTGAAAATGCTTGTTTGCTTTATCTAATTCAAAACTAACGAAATGTTTTTGAAAGAAGATGTATTACCGATAAATAATTGAAGCGCAGAACGTTATGTATTCCTAAAGCTTTTAACAACAAAATGACAGTTGATAAATTGAGTCGCTGCATTTCAGGTATTGCACTCACTAGCAACTTATCATATTCTTCTTCTGAAAATTGAATTCGAACAAGTTAACTTAAGAATAATAATCTGCGAGGTCAAAGTACTTATCAGTCGTTTTAACCCCTGTAAAAAATATTATACATTATACCTGGATAAAGGCGATAGCACTTTCCAGGACGGATTCTTCCGGCTCTGCCAGCACGCTGTTGGGCAGATGCCTGAGAAATAGGCAGTTTAATTAAGCTTTCTAAGCAATTATTTGGATTCAATGATCGAAGCTTCACAAAACCGCAATCAATAACTGAAAATTATGGTAGAGACTAAGATCTATGCACAAACTAAAAGAATGCTTTGTCTGATAAATGTAATAAAATATTCTTCTGTTTCAATCAGCACATTAAATGACTGTAACAGAAATTTTGCTTACTTCAAAGCTATGTCAAGAGTTGTAAGAAATTAAAGAAAGATAATTGCGAAACCAGAGATATATAGTTCATCGTGATCAACAAAAAGTGATATTTTCACACAACAAGTTCAAGAGCTTACCGTAAGCTATTCCCGGTACAGTGAGAGATGTTTCAGCAATATTGGTAGCAACCACAACTTTCCTACTACCATGAGAAGTTGATTCAAATATTTTCAACTAAAATCATAGAATTCGATCAAACAAAGTCAGAAGTAAAATATCAATTGCTTTATAAAAAATATTCAAGAGCTATAGTAAGGTGCCATCTATTTGAAAACGTTAATGTCGATTAAACGATGAAGTGATTGAAAGATAAATACTACGCTAATGATGCATAGACAATACAAGATATATAAACTGATAAATATGTTAATAAACATATAAATAAAATAGAACAAACAAATAGGCAAAAATATAAGTAAAGAAACAAACAAATAAATAAGGGGATACAACAAATAAAAAGACATATATATATATAAACTTTCACTTGTTCAGATGCCGGTAATGAGCCATACATTGGTACAACCCAGAGCTTGTCACTGTCTTTCTTCAAACCTTTACTTGCTTCAATTAACTGCTTGGTTACTGACTCTACCTGAAAAAATACATCTCATTGTAATCTCCGAATTTCAGTTAATAATTTTAAAAGTCAGTAATTAATTTCTCATTTAATTTTTGTTCCACGTACTTCGTCTTGTCCTGTGAGAAACGCCAGCACGTCACCAGGGTACTCATTTTTGTGTATTCTAAGCACAGTTTCCACCGTTTTTTGCATGTAATCTGATACAGGGCTATAAATCAAGCATTGTACACTTTAAAACACAAATATTATGACTATTCACAGAATTATTAATTAGAAAATATTGCCAGTAATTTAAACGTCACAAAACTGTACTTCTTTGTGTAATAAACAGTGACAGGATGAGCGCGACCTTCAACCGAAAGAATGCTAGCAACGTCCCTGCTCTTGTCATTTGTGTCATTTAATTCGAAAAAGTCACGAAAAAGCTGCAGTACCAATTATTTCAATTAATCTCTTTATTAACAAAACATTCAACATAAGTTAAAGACATATCACAATGTGCTGCTTAAGAAATTTAAGAGTAAACGTTTCAAGAGCATAGAGATTTTTATAAGTGCATGAGCTTAAGTGTGTGATTTATTTAAAAACTAACGACAGCATCCAGCGTTGCAGATGAAACTATTACACGTAGATCTTGACGAACTGTAATAATTTTCCGTAACAAACCCAATATAATATCTGTATTCACGGAACGTTCATGAGCTTCATCAATCATCACTATACTGTAACATGAAGGTGTAGAGAAATTGGTCAAAATAAAATAACTTCATGCCCTTCAGTCTAAATATAGATACCTGTATTGATTTAGTAATGGATCCGACATGAACTCACGAAGAAGAATGCCATCAGTCAAATACTGAAATTCGAACAAATCAAAATAAAACAGTATTATAGTAGATGGAAAGTGATAAATAATAGAAAATCTTCCAATTGAACTCAAATATACATGACTAATATCACTTCTTTTGGGACACATTTATAATATCTGCTTGCATCCAATACATTCTCTAAAATTTAACAGCTTTGTTACATTGTTCTTAAGTATGATAAGAAATGTAAATTCTAAAAATGAACTATAACTACAAGGCGATTGAACTGCAAATCATACTGCATTATTCATATCATCAAAAAATAATATTATACATTGCTACTTGAACTGTATTAAACAATAATAAATGCCTTTATTTTGGTCTTCGAATCAGTCATATCGTCAAATCGAACCACATAACCAACATCTTCACCAAGTTTGCACGATTTCTCATCGGCAACCCGACTAGCCAGCTAAAGATGTCATATCATTATAGGTTACCAGCCACTCTCAATAAACTTTAATCTACAAAAACGTGAAAATGTACGTATGAGGACAATTTATTTTGGATTTTAAAATTAGTGTATGATAAACAGCAAACCGTAACAGCTGCAATTCTTCTCGGTTGTGTTACACCTACTTTCCTCCCATCGCAAGCCCACCCTGCTTCCATCAGATACTGAAATCAATAGACTTGAAAAAATATATAACCGTTTATCATACTGCTCAGCAAATTTATAGAAAATGATATGCAGATATTATTGAACAAGAACAATTAAATCCATAAGAATTTTTCAGAATCATACTATAAAAAATCTAAATACTTATCTCGATAAATACTATACCTTTGTTTGGGAACTTGGCATTTCAGTTCCTAAAAATGTAAAATAAAAAATAAATGTTACTGCAACTCCTGTACAAAACCAGACAAAAAAATAATAATTGTGATTTAGTACCTGTGGTACCTGAGTGCTCTTGCCACATCCAGTTTCTCCGACAATGATAAGCACACGATATTTCTCAAGCATATACAAAATATGAGTGCGGTACTGAAAAGTAAGAAAGTAATCGATTGCAAGGCGTTTCTCGAGTCCAGCAAACACTTCTTTAAAAAAGAGTTCTGGTTACATATATTTTGTATATTTTTGATTCAAAAAAATTTTGCTTTCCTGCATAAATCGTGTTCATTTCTTCACACTAATTCTACACTTAAATAAAACAGATATTTCGAGACTATTATCAAAAGGATTTATAAAGACTTTCACTGAAATTTTTAAGGTAGAATCCTCCTAATTCTAATCAGTGGCAAGAATAAAATTACCTAGATTTTACTACCACTTTTCACATCCCAATTTTTGAAAGATACCTTGAAAATTGGCAATCGCGCACGTTGCTGCTCGATAGAAAGTGAAAGAAACGGATTACTAACAACAGGATTGATATTAACATCATCAATTACCCGATCTTCCAAAATAAGAGATACTGCTCGATCATCAGTGTCATGATCTCCTGTAACCACGCAAAGTAGCAGTTTATAGCCATATTTTCAAAACGGTGTAAAATAACGCTTACTTGGTTTCAAAAAAGAAGTTGGACAACGTGAGCGGTTCCTGCGATCTGATATCATTTCCTACTGCTTCTCCACAGATTACTGTTTTTAAACAACCAACGCATCCAATTACCTGTCTTGATTGTAATAACTTCACTACCACGTAACTCAACTAGAATACATGACAAGCTACTAATGTTGCTCAAACTTTGTGCAATCACTTGACACTTCGTGAAACTGTAATGATATTACCATAAATTGCATTTTTTGTAGCAATATAAGTCGCCTCACTCAACATACTACCGTTCCCAATTTAATAATCAGTCTAACACCAGTGCATCCCAATCCCCACCTCTTTACTTTTCTTTGTACTTCATCTACTCTACAACAAGAACTTCGAACCTTAAAGAAACTTGCAGAATGGTTCTTATTCCTTGAATAATTTGTTTCTCACCTCATCATTATAAAATAGTTAAATATATTACTGTATTACTCCTGATGGCCAGTTCTGTCTTTAACATCTCCGATCAAAATGCCGAAGTCCAGAGCTTTCTTGAAATAGTAGGATTTCGGGTGAATTCAGCAAAATCAGCCATCAATACTGGGGTATGCGCTGAGACATTTTTTGGAAGAAGCACAAGGGTATAAATGCCTTAGAGTAATAGAAGGTAAGACTAGTGCACCTATCCGAGAAAGCTACGACAAAGTGCGATATTTCGGTGAATCGAATAGCTAGCCAAAAGTAAACACTAAACAAAACGATCAAGATAGGGAACTCCTCATTATACTGGAATGCTCAAACTGGAACCAAAGGATCTTTAAGCAGTTGACATGATACCAGGCAGTTACTAAATAGGTACAGAATTCACAGTCAACCTGCATGTTAGACTGTCCCTGCCATGAGACGAGATAAGACGTGTGCTTCAATGTTGGACAAAGAATAAGTCTATACTTCTGCAGCTCCATAACGTATTTGTAGACATCACACCCTTATCTACTAGGATAGCAACGATTTGAAGCAAGATTCACAGATCGTACTTACCAGTTAGTCTCTCCTTCAAGCTATACACAATGTCGAAAATGTACTAGCATCCCTGAAATTCCCCCTCCACAGTGAAATAGAAAATCTGTCTTGCAACGCTATACAAGATACCTAGCAATGAGTTAGCCTCAATGTCAAACTCATCAATGGGTAACCATTCGAAAACAGTGGATGAGGCGCAACACTGTCCCCTTCACGACAGAAATGTTTGCAAGTAATAAAAAAATGTGCTCTCATTGTCCGGAATGAGTGAAGACGTTGAACTACTTGGCAACACAGTGCGAAATATTATGTACCTAACGTTAACTTAGGCATCTAATGAACAATCCATCTCGATTTTATTGAATAAAAGCTGCAAGTAATAGCAGCAATGCACAGAATATGCTTTACGACACAGATCTCGTTTGATAAATGAAAAATAGAGAGCGACTATAATTATCAATATTAAATATAAAGAACAAAATAAAAAAAACAAAAAACAAATGTATAAGGACGCATTGAAATTGCCACAAAGGATGAAACAACACATACGGTACGCTCTGAAACACATAAAATTCAAATTCGTACCTCAAATACTTTAACGACAATTTCGATGCATAAAATTTTTCCTTGAAAATTTCCCTCATCAAATAAGAACTGCTAATGCATACAATCAAATTCTTTGAAATATTTATTCTCCTTTTTTGAAGAATAAAAAATTTAACACCAACAAAAACATTATTCAAAGTAAATCATAATTATATAGATTACAAACAAGGGCGTCAATGAAATTTTTTCTGTTTATCCGCAACTCATCGTCGCATACGTTTCTCAGCTGGATAGTCACCACCCATTGGTGGTCCACGATGAAAACCACCGGGAGGGCCACCCTGCATTCCAAAGTTTCCTGGTCCCATTGGTCCTGGTCCACCAGGTCCTCGAAAACCTCCGTGTCCAGGACCACCCGGATTGCCAAACGGAGGTGGCTGCAATAAAAGACGATATGAAATTAAATAAAATTCTTGCTGAGAAGCGTGATACACAATATCAGAAGAAATTTTCGTTGGATAAGTGCTTAAAAAAAAGGTAGCTAGTATGAATTTAAAGTGAAAAAAGAGAATACTGTTCGAAAAGGAACTCAAAACAACTGCCAAATAAAAAAGTTTCTGTATTTTCTACATACCACTCCTTGCTGTGAACCACCAGGTCTGGGTGCATCAGTACGAAATATTTGTAGCAGTTTCTGTACACCTTGCACAAGAGTCGGATCTGCAGAATTCACAGACTCATTCCACATTTCCAAAATTACTTTACAATTCAGCAGCAGGTTAGAAACCTATCCACAATTATAAGTTTAGAAATAAGCAATTGAATTTCAAGATACTGTTTCCATAAGAGAATAAGAATAAAGGAGGAGGAATTTTTACCTGGACCACCTCCTTGATGATTAACGGGTCCACCTTGTTGGAATGGTGGTCCTCTTCCCGGATTATCCATTTGAGGTGGTGCCCCACGCTGCATATCAGGTGGTCCTCGCCCTATAATTTCTTGCCCTCTTCCTCCTTCTGGTCCATTTGAGTTAAACGGTCCTCCTGAGGATTCCAATTAAATACAATAGAAAATAAAAAAGATATTTATGAAGTAAGGTTATGCTCACTGTGTGAAGCTCCACCACCACCAGATCCACTAACGAAAAATTCCCGCGGAGGTGGTCCACCAGACATCCCTCCCGGACCATTAGCCATACCTTGCGGACCAGACGGTCCACCAGCTAAATTACTCAGCAATGTAGGCATTTCTCCACGGCGAGCAGCTACCTGTGCCATGCGTTCACGCTTTGCTGCTTCTAGCCGTTCAAGCTCCTGCTGTCGACGTGCCAAATCTGCAACTGATATTCATTACTTGGCAAAAACAAAGTGCTTTTCGACACTCCTCATATTTAATACATAAAAAACTTTCGACTCAATTCTCATCCATCCCATCAAATGTCAACTCCAACAGAGTGAACTTAAGTTCAAAATACATGTGGAAACTGATCCACATTACATGATTAGCATATATTGATGAACTCAACTGATATGTTAAAAAAATTTTCCAATTACATGCGTAAGTTTGGTAATGCAGTAACTATTTTGGCGCTGTAAAGTGGTGAAAAACAGCTCTAATTGCATAAATAAATACTCATCAAATCAACTCGAAATCTCTGACGTAATGTGGTACAGATAGACCATTTAACACAACAAATAGTAATAAATAATTCCATGAATTTGCGCGTCGATTGAAATAAAAATTAGGAAAATAAATGCCAATGGCTTAATCATTGTGCGAAATTACGCAATTCTCGAAATATATTTAGCATAAACTGATCTCAAATCGGCACTGTTCATTATTTCAAAACTCATTCACTGAAAACAAGCTTATGTAGGCACTGCAAAACCAATAAGCATTTTGAGACCACAGACTTTATATTTCATAAGATACGATTCAACTGTATAACATTTTCTGGTTCACATCCCAAATCACTAATGAACGTAGTCACCCACCATAAATTTTGCTTGCTTTTCAAATATTTGGTAACGAAATGCATCAAAAATTGTAGGAAAAAAATGAGAATAACTCCATTACAGACAAAATATTCAGTACAAATCACAAAGAGAAACAAGGTTAGACAAAAGAAGCTGGTTGAGACTGTACCAAGAATTATTTCATGTTTCAGTCTTTTATTCCTTTCAGTACAATATACATAGCATTGAAGAAATATGAAAAGGCTATAGAGCACTGCTGTGAAATTAATTTCAAGCACATTCAGATATAGTATAGATAAATTACTATTTTATGCATGGCTGATTTGAGATTTGCTTGGTTTAGTAGGTGTCGATTTCACCCAAAATTATGTGCACATGTCTAACTTCAAGAATTAAGCTTAACATAGAAGATAACAAATTTGCCATAAAAAATCATCCGTCAACAAGAACACATCATTGTTGGCGAAGAAAGTAGCAAAAAATATTTAGTCCTAAAACTTCCTTCACGCATTTTTTCTTGAGAGAATAAAGACTTAGTAAATAGAAAAATAATTGCAAAAATGTTTCGAAAAAACTTTGCTGATGCTCCAATTCGTTGTAGCAACAATCTCCCAATATGATGTACAAAGGACATAAGGCTGTAAAGAAGAACTTTACAGTGATAGTGAAAAGTAAAGAGTGTAAAAACCTTGCCTTCACGGAGTAACTGAGTTTGATAATCCTGGTAAGCGAGGTCCATATCAGCTTCCAAGCGTCTACGAGCTTCCTTGAGCTCTTCTTCCAATTGACCTCTACGCTGTCTTTCCACCTCATATAGCTCTTTCCATTTTAACCCGAATACGTATTCGAAGCTGTTTGCCGGTGGAAATCGCGGGCCCACTTCTCGTTCTCTACATGTTAACACTGTGCTACACACATATTCACTTTGGAAATATTTACCACATCCTTAGTACTACTCAATACTTTCCTGTTGCTAGCAGATATCAACTTATTACTAAAAAATGCACACGCAGATATCAGTTTTAAACCCCAGCCAATTAACTATACCCTTTTCCATCCACAGCCAAGCTACATTTCAACCAGAATATGCAAAGTTATATGGTACCGCAGTGCTTCAACTAAATTTATATTTCATACAATACTGAGCTTTTTCATTCTAAATTAAGACTACCACTTATGGGATTCTCAAGCCTCTATTACATTTCGGAAGTTGAATTTTTAAATCAAATCATATCAATTAGGTTTAACGAAGTATCTATCGATTGCTACAACAACTCCACACATTCTTTACACACGACTGCCAAATTAAGATTCTTTTTAGAAGAGAACATTTAACAAACTAACGACTGAACAAGCTATAACTACCTCAATTGACCACTCTCACGCGTTTATTACCTACTCCTAACATTAGTATCATCTTGCAATATTGCAACACTCAACAACCACTTCATAAAATTCAGGATGACCTTTACAGCATCTTCCTTTTACTTCCAGATCGTACTATCAACAGCTTCACTTATTCTTTCCTTCATACTGTTAACACACACAAACTTAGATACACATTTCTTCACAATCTTTGGCATAAAAAATCTTGCAAACATATTTTGACAAGCCATTATTAATGGAAAATAAAAGTAATCAAACTTCATTGTGAACCCTGAAACAACCATATTAAAACAATGAAAAAAATTCCCACATCATTGTTCCATGCATGTGTAAACAAATTAATATATTCTCCTCAATAAATGATTAATAGCCGCTCTACACAATGATATTAAAAGACAACTGCTCAACTAAGATCTTTCCTACTACTTGATACAAACTACCTCCGAACTTCCCTTAAGATTTGAATGTGCTTTCTGACAACTAATATATTACTTTAGCACCTGAGATAGTGTCCTTCAATTACCAAACAAAACATAACAAAAATCCAGAGAACCGTACATCTTTGATCACATTCTAAGATTTTCATCGAGTTAAAACTCTAATTAATAAATAAGAATCAATGCTAAAAGCCCGACATGTAAATCTAGTTTCAATTTTGATATAAAAAGTTTTCATGATATTTGTAAAAGCATTTTCAATCACATAAAATATAAAATGGAAACCATTACGTTTTCATTTAATACCACCTAATACCTAGATGTACTACAGATACGAATAAGCTATAAAAGAAGCTGACCACAAATCAGTATCAACAGAGAACAACCAAAATCATTTTCACGTGGAAAACATTTGCAGCGTTTGTAATTGGCACAGCACAACTTTAAGGTCAGTACTCCAATCATGGTAATTTTTGGAAAAGAGGCATAAATGTATTGTTAAGAAGAGATGTAATATACTAAGAAGGTTAGATTTAAACGACTCAATAAAATTTTTCTAATCTGCTTGAGGACGAAATGAGAACGAATGGATCATAAAACCTACGATGCTCGTATACTATATGTGACGTGCCAGAAGCAAAATTTGGTATGTTAGATGCTTACGCCATGTCTTACTGGCCATAAATCAAGTAATTCAGCAACTTAGTTCAATATACCACTGACTATCTGGGGATGAAATGAAACATATCTTATAATTCATAAACGAAACTTTCAGAATTGTTTGACACAAACACTATGGAAAAGAAACACATCATCATTGGCATCCTTCTTTACGCAACTCATCTCAAACATGCTACTTAGGAAAATGCAATCCTATGCAACACGAAATTCTTATGCACCTTACGTAAACCTTAACTGTTGAGCATTTGAGTACCATAAATGACTTTTGGAGTTAGAGAACACGAGCGCACAAAAGTTTAGTTGAAATATTTCTTAGCCCAACTTCCTATGAAGAGCGTTCAAAATCTACTAAAAAGCATCATGAGATTTTTTAGTTAACTTTTTTCGTTTGAAGTATATCGAACGACGATACGACAGTCTAAATCACAATAAGCTGCTCTGTAATATAATAAAGAATATGCATATGTGTGGCTCTATTACTCGATATCTTCCTTTACTAAGAAGCACGTCACGAAAATAATTAGCAACAACTCTATTTTATATTTTTTTTTGCAGCAGTTACATTGAAAATCTTTAGCATTTAGCAAACTTAGTTGCCGATACATGAAGTCCTTCAGCAGAGCAGAGATGTGAGTGCATATACACCTGCATAAACAATGTCAACCAAAGAAAGTTTCTTTTCAATGCATTATCCATGTACATAGAATGAGTCCAATTTAAAGATTCAAACAAAAGAATAGTGCTGAGAAGTCCAGTTATAATCAGCAAAACATGTAGCTCTACAAATGATACAGTTTAGAGATTGATCTCATAGTCTGATGTACTCGAGCAAAAAAGCCACATTTACACATATCCCCATATTTCAGAGCAGCCTAATTATAAGGCGTCAAAACAGTCCAGAAGTTTGAATAATAGTAATAAGTTGTTTACGTAATTAAAAAGCAACTAGCAAAATCCAAAAAAAAAAAAATGAGAAAAAGTACTTTTGGAGCATCGCACTGCGCTGTATCATGCGTTCAGCAAGACCATCATCTTCGTCACGTGGCTCCAACATCTCCACAACTAATGGTTTCGGACTTCTATAAACAAAAACACGAGAGTTAAACCTAGCTCCAAATCACAGTCAAAAGAAAAGTACTTCGAGTTTCATACCAAAAAAGAGTATAAATTACCAGTATATATTACCACGATGGTAATTTACAAGGAAACATAATAAACTTACGCGGTTAATAAAAACACTTTTTCTCGAATTTGATGGAGAGCTTCGTTTGCCGATGGTTTACGTTCGAATTCCACAATTCCTTCTCCAGTTGGCTTGCCCTTTTCATCAACAATATGAACTGCTCGCTCTACTTCTCCAAATGCCGAAAATGCATGATAAAGCATCTCATTCGATACAGTAGACGACAGTTCTTTTACTCGTAAAGCTGCACCGTGCACTGCAAATCGCACACGAACTGGTCTTCCATGTATTATTCTTCCATCAATAGCTTCTTTGGCACTCTCCGCATGAGCACGTGTATCCTAAATTCTTGAACTATAATATTTCGAATCTGACTCTGACATTTATCACAACATAGTTTCAAGATACTTGGAACTCGAACTTTTCTCAAGCTGTTACTAATTACAAAAAACTAACCAATCGTAGAAAAGCAAATCCTTTGCCACTTAAATAACACTCTGCAATATCTCCATGTGGTGCAAAAAGCTCTTTAAGTTCTTGTTCTTTTAAATCATTCGGCAGATTTCCAACAAATAATCGACATCGTCCTGTGAATTTCTTCTTAGGCAAATCACTCATTAGATCTGTTTCACTGAATGCTTGTCCAGAGAGAACATTGAGTGACGACATTAAATTCATAGGTCCTCGACCACCACCGCTCCCACCGCCAGGTACCATACCCATCCCACGATTTCCTTGACTACCTGGTGGCCCACCCATATTATTTGAATTATTATACTGGTGGTCACTTGAACGATGGTGATGATGCCTCAAAAGAACAAAATTCTTAACTTTATATAAATATATTTCAAATCCAAACTCCACATAACTAATGACAATTCCACATAATATCCTAATTAAAAGAAATCTTAAGAGTTTCAGAATGAAAAAACGGTAACAAAAGTGTTTCTGTGATAGAAACCTAAGAATTACACGTCCTTCCACAACATTTGCTTCCTTTATGCTAAAAGCCCAGACCAGATCTAAGCCAAACATATAAAAAGGTAAAGTCGAAATCTGATACCTTTCATTGGATGATGTTCTCCCAGTACGTTCACGTTCATTTCTTTCTCCACGATCACGTTCCTCTTTTATAACACGTGGACTTGAATTACTACCACTTCCAGACCTTCCACTGTTTCCCTTCGACTTTGAATCAGATTCATTACGTCCACGGTCACTCATTTCACTTTTCTAAGGAATGTCTTCACATCACAAGCAAATTTTTTAATAAACACTTAACTCACTTAACACCTACTACCTACGATACACCCTCCTGTCCTACGGCACACGTTCGTGACGGAACTCCCTACCAATTCCCAATATCAACGCAACTAAGTCACCGACATCACAAACCACCCAAACCAAGCCCGCTGGAAGAGTATAAATCGACATTGCATTATGACAGCAAATATTATTACTTGAATCGATAAAGCAGGAAAACGGTGCAAGACCCATCACCTGTGTATCAAAGAAAAACTATAAAAGCTCAAAATTCAACTGGAATTAAATAGGAAGATTCGGAGTGCGCTAGCAAGTAACCACTGGTAACAGAGTACTGTCTGCTTAAACTGTAGTCATAATGGTCTTAACGACGAGTTAAAAAGTGCTCTCACACTCTGCATATTTATTAGAACAATTAATTTGCAATAAAATAAAAGATTGTGGAGCAATTTTTGAGTTTGGCCGATAGCATTAGAGTTTAAATGTCGCTCTACTTTCCGTCATGTGATTTACTTGTGGCATTGTCGCTTTTTGTCGTTAGATTTTTCGATTAATTGTAATTTATCTTATCCATCGCTGTAGTTATTAGATTTAAGTTCACTAATATGACCAAGTAATTTATTCTGATTTTATTCTTATTCATTTGACTATAAAAATGATCATTCCATTTTGAGCTTATTTTACGAAATTCTATTGTATGACTGATCGGTTCATCGATACAGCGACAGCAGAAATATTCAGTAGTGACGCTTCATACTATTTCTTTCTTATTCCAACTTTAATTCCAGGTTTGCTTACTTTATACGTGATGGTTACGCCTCTTTTAGTTATCACTTTGTAAATAATCATGTGTTGGTTTTTTCATTTTGTGTACAAGTTAATTTCTTGAGTTGGTAGGGCATTTGCACATATGACATGACTGATGTTGAAAGCACATTATTTCAGCCTGTCTATTTTTTCATTTTTTTATCTGGTTCGGTTTCGAATTCTTCATAAACAACTAACTTCGAAATGACAATATCCGCTTACCTTGAGTCAACTTTTCCAAGTCTTCCTGTAGAAGTAAAAGATTACGTTGAAGGTATTATGAATTGTCATTTTCAAACTTTCGTCATTTCTGGTAACATTAGTTAGCCTTATTTCTAACTTACAAATTTATTTTTACATATTCTCTTATATCTTTAGCATTCAAGATTATGCTCTTTAAAATAACTTTTCGCCATCATTCTACAAATGTTATTCTGTATTTTGCATATTTCTGTGCTTCTAGCGCTGTTAAGAGAAAATGCTGATGACTTGTTTTCGAAGGAAGATATTGTGGATGCTGTTGGCATTCATATACAAAGTTCTGTGGAGGGCCTTAGCGATGAAGCTGTTGAACTTGCTTGCGAAAAGCTTGCCTTATTACTTCATGATGGGTCAAAGTTTTATATGTAGTATTTTTAGATGTGTGTAAAGTTCTCACTTTTCGAGCTCTCAATAAAATATTTTTCGCCATCATCAGTCATGTAAAATTTTCAGCTTTTATGAATTTAGTTGTAGAAAAACTACATCTCGACGTGAAGATGATATTGGTCAACGGCGTTTAAATCAAACTATTGACATAAGTGCTCAGCATTTCGACTCAGATGATATTACAAGCATATGGAGAATTTCTAATCGAGATACACCTTTAGTTAGTTCTATTATACTGCTTACGTATGGACTGAGAGTAGATCGTAGATTAATCTATGATGGTATTTTCAAGTTTTGCAGTTGGTAGATAAAAAGAAGCTTGAAAAAGCGGAAACACGCGCATTGGAAAAAGTTGCTAAACGTGAAATTGATGGTAATAAAGTGCAGAAAAAGAGGCCAGCTGATCTCATAGCTACGGCTTCTCAGTCAACAAGCAGACGGGATGGAAAATCTGATGGAAGCACAATGGATATTCATTTAAATAATGTTGATGTTTCAGTAGGACCTAAGTATGTTTGATCCCACGTTTTAAATGACTTACAAAATCCGATAAAATTGTCTATGGAATTTTTGTAGCACTGTATTTTCTCAAATTTCTTGTTTAAGTTATTTTCAAAGAAACTGCTTCTTATATAATCGCCTACATATTTTTTGATTTTCAGGCAACTTCTCTCTGGTGCAGACGTTATTTTAGCTTATGGACGTCGTTACGGGTTGGTTGGTCGGAACGGAGCCGGAAAGTCTACTTTTCTTAGAATGATTTCGTCGTAAGATTTATTAAATTCGGCAAAATGTGATATGATGCAACTAGATTTTACTTGGAGTTTTCATTTACAGCATTTTTTTCTTGAGTATTGTCCAAGTCTTACTGAATTGTTTCAGGAAACAGCTAAAAATACCTTCCAATATCAGCATGTTAAGTGTTGAGCAAGAAGTAGACGGAGATGACACAGAAGTTAGACAAGCTGTTTTGGAAAGTGATACTGTAAGGATGAGAGTGCTGCGTCGAGAAGAAGAATTACATCGACTTATTCGAGAGTAAGATAACTTCATTTCTCTCAGCCATCAGACAAAAAAAGCATAACATATTTTGATCCTTCTCATATCTTCCAAAATTAAAGTACTGTTTTCTATTTTTTTATTGTCAATGAATTTCAGCCACTTTAAAAAGCTTGTGATTTTGTGCAAACATGTTAACTTCTCTTTTGTATATTTTAGTTGATATAAGCACATATCTTCTAGGTGTTGTAACGATGCAGATAAAGAAAAGTATAGTTCAGAATTAGGGAAAGTATATGCCGAAATTGAAGCGAATCAAATGGATAAAGCACCAGCCCGTGCTTCTTCTATTTTGTTTGGTCTTGGATTTACACCTGAAGAACAGAAACGGCCTACAAAGTGTTTTTTGTCTCTATTAGTAATTATATTTATCTAGAGAGTTTACAATTTATTATCTTCTACTTCAGTAATAATTCTTATAAAGAAACATGAATAAGTAGTTGAGGATTGACTTGTACATAAGGCTGATAATGACAATACTGAAAATAGAGATAAATTTTCCAAAGTAACGTTTCTGTTTTTATTGTTTCTGCATGAGTTTATTGTCGGCAATAATTCTGTGACTAAATTTTTTAAATTTTATCGGTGTTGCATTATTCTTATTTAGTGAATTTATTTTTAAGCTTCTGTGTTCATAATTGTTACTTTTCAGGGAATTTTCTGGAGGTTGGCGGATGAGATTAGCGTTAGCAAAGGCACTGTTCATGAGGTTTAAAATCTCTTTATTTGTAAATTCTAACAAGTTTTTGAGTTTCTTTATTCATTTTACAGAACTTACAAAAAATGCTTACAGACCAGATTTACTCTTATTAGACGAACCCACAAATATGTTGGACTTGAGAGCAGTAATTTGGCTAGAAAACCATCTTCAGGTTTCATGAGATCTTTCATTATATTCATAGCAATGTACTTTTGTTCTATTTGGAGCAAAAAACGTCTTTTGTCAAAATTTTTGAAATTACAACATATTAAAACTCTTTGTAAGATAGAAATCTGGACAGTCGTTTTGTTCGTAGTGGGTTATATGCAATTCATAATTATTTTGGGAAGCTAAATAAATGTTTTCAGGAATGGACTTCTACAATTGTGATAGTGTCACATGACCGCAGCTTTTTAAATACAGTTTGTACAGACATTATACATTTACACTCAAAAAGACTCGATCAATATAAAGGCAATTATGTTATTTTTGAAAAAACAATGAAAGAGAAACTGACTCAGCAACAAAGGTGATACTTATTTTTACTATTATGTGACAAGTTATAATCGGGATTTTTGTCTCGTTTACGAGTCTTCTTTATGTGTGTTGTGTAATGTCTTAAATATTTCCAGGGAATACGAGGCACAACAACAGTTGCGTCAGCATACGCAGGAATTTATTGATAAATTTCGATACAACGCTAAACGAGCATCTATGGTGCAAAGTCGTATAAAGATGCTTGAAAAATTGTAAGAATTTATATTAGATACAATTGTCTATCAGAATTTGGATGCAATTTTCATTGCAAAACTTATAAAACTATAACAAAACATTGGGAGTAGTTGAAAGTTCACTATTATGGAAAGGCAAATACGTTATATTACTTGCGTTTTTAGATCATTAGTGAGTCATATCTTCAAACTAACATAGATAGCGTGTTTTGAAAATGAACTCCTATGTAATACTTGTCTTAACTAATGACAGGGTAATTATTTCTGCAAAGGAATGAAAATGAGGAAAATTGCTTCTCTCTAGTTGTGGAATTCAATTTTTTTATTTTCTAAAACTTTTGCAGACCAGTACTCAAACCAATTGTTCTAGAAGGTGATGTAAAGCTAGCATTTCCAACTTGCGAGAAGTTAAACCATTTAGTGCTACAGTTAGATGATGTGTCATTCAGGTAACGTAGGCATTTCTGTTATGTATAAGGAATAGTAAGGAAATGAAAGTATCTTTATACTATAAAAACATATGCTTGAAAAGTTTTAAAGTTAGTGTGCCATTTGAATATAACAGCACGTACAGAAAGAAAAGCACACTTTCACAAAAATTATAATCTTTGAAAGGACTGTTTTGTAGGTATACGTCCGTTTCACCACTTATATTTACGAAACTACAGATCGGATCGCATGCAGACTCACGTGTTTGCATCGTACGTCACTGTGCATAATTTGGCGAATTCTAGTGCAATATTTTTTTGCGTTGTTCTTTTTCTAAATATGCTGTTCGAATTAATAAACAACATCAAGTTATTGAGTGTTTGAAAAACACAGATTCCAGGTTGGTGAAAATGGTGCTGGCAAAACAACACTGTTAAAATTGCTTCTTGGAGATTTGTCGCCAACAACTGGCTTTCGTAATGCTAATCGTCGTCTGAAGATAGGCTATTTCTCGCAGCATCATATTGATCAACTTGATATGGATGTATCTGGAATAGAAGTTCTGGAAAAAAGATTCCCTGGTGGTTTATTTATGAAAATTTTTTTCAGCTCATATTCTGTTCGATTGTGTCATATTTTATCTTAATTCTAAGATTAAAGGTAAAAATCAAGAAGAGTATAGAGCCGCTCTTGGTCGATTTGGATTATCTGGCGACCTAGCGCAGCAATCTGTTGCCACTCTTTCTGGCGGACAAAAATCTCGTCTTGCTTTCGCTAGTATTGCTATGTCAAAGTATAGTTTGTTATATCAAGTTTTTCGGTATTTACATTTTGATATACATACTTCTTTTGTTGCAGCCCTAACTACTTAATTATGGATGAGCCTACCAATCACTTGGATGTAGAAACGGTCGAAGCATTGGGTAAAGCGCTCAATGCATTCATGGTAAAATTTAACAAAAATAAATTAGCAGTAAAGAAGCAAAGTTATGGTCCATTAACTCATGCCAATTTTATAGTGTGCTTTTCAAATTCTTGTTTTCTAGCAGAATGTTGATGTATGTTGTCTCTTAAATGAGACTATTTATCGTTTCTTGGTGCAAGATAATTATCTTTTTTGTTACAGGGTGGAGTGGTGATCGTTTCTCATGATGAAAAGCTCATAGATATGGTCTGTAAGGAACTGTGGGTTGTCAAAGACCGTTCTGTGATTACTTTAGAGGGAGGTTTGCAAGAATATAAGAAGCATGTCATGAGGCAGTTAGCATTGTAATAGAAAATAAATCATTTGTCTTGTAATTTTAAACTACTTTTTATTACATGAGCTTTGATGAACAGCAGATGAAATAACCTCTTATTGCAAAATAATGATCACAAAACTTCTTCCTATTCGGGATATGACAAATGACATCGCTAATAAGAGTAATATATCTAAAACGTCGTAAAACATGGATATTCGTATTTAAAGTTACAAATTCAGTAATTTTCTAAAACATTTTGCTCAAGCAATTTCTTAAAACAGTACATTAACTCCATGTTATAGAAAGCCTATTCTTAGACTATTATTTTCTTCACACTGTCCAAAAGAACTATATAATTCCACTTTTGAATAGGCTACGATTAATAAATTCAAAAGTAGATTTACTGTTGTAGGTAACAATAAAAATTGTAACACAAAACAGAGATAACAACAGTTTTACGAAAAATTATATGATGCTTTTGTACGTTTGATTACGCAACTGATAAACATCGTAGCATACAACACCACTTTTTGCGATTCATTTCGCGTCGTTTCATTTTTGCCGCAAAAACATCCGCCACAACATCACCTGGCACCTGAAAATAAAGAAGTTCTTTCCAAAACTTTGTCACATAAATGGAAAGGAAGTTTGTCCAAATTCAGAAATGACTTCAAAAAACATGAGGAATGGTTGTCCTTAACTGACTTCCTGCTAAATTGCAAAGGAAGTCGAGTCACTGCATGCTACACGCATTTGATGAGAAAAATCGAATTCTGAATAGGAGTGCGACATCACCTTTGAAAAATGCAATGAGGCGAGCTCATTCTGTTTCATTTTTGATAATTTGTCAATAAGTAATGTCGTAGTCGGAGAGTAACGATCATGTTCCGCCATAGCGCAAGTGATTTGAAATAATTTTATCTTATCTACTACATCTACCTAAAATACAAAAAAACCTCCATAAGCAATGTTTTGAAAAGCATAGAAGCCTTGAATCGCATCGTATCGCAACTTTTATATGATCTCACTACAGAAATCTATCTCGTCTTTTAACAATTACTTTTTTGTTCGAATGTCGCAAGTTTTATTAGTCAGAAATATACTTTAATTAATCCAACAGACAAGACTTTACAACATAAAACTGCAAATAGAAGATCCAAAAATCTCAAACATTTTTGGTCCTGTAACTTCTATCACATATAGCAGCACTTTCACCACATTCGAAAAAAATTACCAGAAACTGCAATTAATTACCTTTTCAGTGATAACTTTTTCACATTCTTCTACCAGCGCCTTGAATCCAAAATAATGAGCCATCTTTAATACAGTAATAACGTTTGTAACTGCAATCTTGAAATGAAGAAAATGTTTTAACGAAATCGCTTTCATAAAAGCGTACCATGAAAATTTCTTCACTATTTATTTTATTGCAAAATATCATTCAACAAGATAAAAAATTACTTCTATCTTTTGTACTTTTTTCAGTAGATTACCCTAAACAAAGAAAATTATGAAGCAAATGAATATTATCGTGAAAATAAAGTAGGCTGAAATTCTGTGATGCAAAAATTTCTTAGCAAATTCTCATGACGTCTGTCATGCAACCTTTGTTGACATAATACAGTTCTATACGTTCTATTGTAAATGACAGACTGCATATCTCTGTCACAATAACTGTCAGTGATAGTGTCTGTAACCTCTTAAATGTTAAATAAAAAGAGAAGCAGCAATGAAAAACGAATAAATTTTTTTGATGCATTGTTTGAAACAAACAGTATTCTTCAATAACAGTAAAATCTATTTATATCAGCACTAAGCAGCAACGAAATTTATCTTATTCAATATTTTGCAGTATAGAAAAGAACCGCAAGTTGAAAAATAAACAACATGGAAAACTAGCACACACCAATCGCTTAAGGAAGAGGTACAGTATTACTTTAAGTGTTTAACATTACCGTATGCAATCAGAATTTTGCTGAAAACTTGTTTCCTTTACTTACTCTGACACGAAAAATAAATGCAACTCTTTCAAAGACTTTTATGACCTTTAATACCAACTTCCTATACATCAATAGTGACTGAAGTGAGACTTGATATAAGTAGTCAATAATATAATTAATCTGTCAAAAAAATAATTCCTGCGATTCCTAAGTTAAATTGCAATAAAAAGCAATGACAAAGCTCCATTTTTATTTATATAAGCAAAAATAAACCTGTTATGGGTTTTCGAGTAGGACAATAACACAGAACTCGTAGCAATTCTAAGAAGTTCTCATACTTTACTTCATCGCTTAGAATTATATCTTCTCCCGCGTTATTAAGGAAAAACATTGTTGCAAAAAAACTTGATAACTCCGCAAGCCAACCGGGATTGACATAGAATGTATGACCTAAAAATCTCCAGAGTGTCTTTTTAAATCATATAATTGCAAGTAATCTGATAATGCCTTCTCATTTAAATAAATATTTCTCAACGTCTCTAACATTAAATGATATTTTTGGTGATAAAATTCTGATACTTCATTACTCACAGCTTAGTAAGAAGTAAAATAACAAAGTCTTTACGAAATATAACGTTAATTTCTAGCCTGATAATTTTAAATAAAAAAGTATCACATATTTTTCAATTAATTTCGAGTCATCTTAGACCATTAATCTACGTAATTGTCTTCATATAATGTTACAGTAAACTTTTGAAAATTTTTCCCACTTTGCCAAATTTAATATACGCAAAGTATTACACGTACGTAAACACACCTTCAACAGTCACTCGAGCTGATCGAAGCGATGTGGGAGACGAAAAATCATCGTAAGCTGATTTTTCCATCACTGTCATTAGCGAATACGAGACGAATGATGATGCAGACATTAGTGACACACGTAAACAAATAACGAAACGCTGCAAATTCAGCTGATATTAATTCAATTTCTGGAAAAATGCGCTTGAAAATCAATTAACATTTCGCTTTCATCAACGAATATACTTTCAAAAATCAAAAGATATTTACGTGTCAAACGATATTTTATTTCGTCTTTGAACGGATATGCCCATAGACGGATCAATACGTCGCATCTATGCACAGAAACCCCGAAAAAGAGGGGTCAGAAGAGTCAATTCGTGAAAGAACAAGCCAGACAGCAAATAAATGAAAATAATCATCCTTTGCATCTAAGATATCAATTTGCAACGCACTTCGAAATACGCAGACAACATTTGTTGCACAGATCCGCAAAGAGGATACTATCTGTTGTATACTTACATGGGACGCAAATTTAGCATTGAGTAGACATTAAGCTACAGTTTTTTCCCTGTCAAAAACGTCTGCTTTAGTTTTTTAATTATTTGTTAGAGTTAGACTATAATGAAGCATTCGTGAGGATGGTGTGGGCAAGTGAGGTCACGTAAAATTACTAAAAATTACTCCTTATTGTATGTGAAATTGTGGAAAAAATTTTTAACATTGTAATTGCGCAAAATTGTTACATATATTGCACATGACACAGTAAGTGAATATTCTTGTCTGGAACTACTGAAAATTGTTTCAAATATCATACATAGGACTGGAAATTCAAGTCTTTTCATTGACTCACGTCATCTGTGACACGTACTATAATCGTTTGATAACGCAGAGCAGAAGCATTACATATACAAGTGAGCTAATTCTAACTGCTTTGAATT